TGAGAGATTACCCCCCCCCCCCCCCCCCCCCCCCCTCTCCTTCAATATCTAACTTAATTAAAGGAGGAGATTATCAAAATTAGATACTATAGAGGACTAGCTAATACTAGTCACATACTCCTTCAGTCTAACATAGCGGTTCACTATTGACTTGACACACATCTTTAAAAATAATAAATAATAAAAGTAATATTATTATATTATTCTTTGAATATATTAAATTTAATATTTTGAGAAATGTATTAGATATTGAATAATATTTAATAGCAAGGGTAAAATAGACTTAAAATGATAAATTATCTCTTGATTTTTCAAACTGGACAATTATTGTTGGACAACTATTGTTAGTATAGTGAACAAATAAAAATGTGCTGAAAGAGTTTTTTTTTTAATGAATTATTGTACACTAATATTAATCCATGTATTTATTATTATTTTCCCAAAGCAAGTTTGTTGATGTTTAAGTGGTTCTTTGCTTTAGATTTATGATAATTTATTCATATTACTTTGTATCATAAAGTACAAGAAAAGGACAATTCAAATTTCTTTCTTTCAAAGTTGCGACGTATTTATATTAAATTAGTTAAGCGTATGTATTCTGTATCGCGTTAATTAATAATAACTATATATAAAAAGAATAAATTATTGTGTGTACGTTATCTCTCTCTCTCACCTTTCTTCTCTCAGATCTCATTCACCTCTCTCCTCCCTCTCCTAATCTCGCTTGTCTTTCTCCTCCTTATAACAAGTAGGTAGTATACAATTGTATTTATTGATACAGAATCAATTGTGTTCGTAATATAAATATCGATCAAATATACATAACAATTGTACCTCTCTCTAGATCTCCTTCGCCCTTCTCCTTCTTCTCTCAATAATGCTCGCCTCTCTCCCCTAGCTCTCTCCTAGATCTCGCTCATTTCTGTCTTTATTCTCCCAATCTCGTTTGTATCTATCCTCCGTCTAACATGTAGCTAAAATCTTTATTAAACAAACTATATATAGTTATATATACATCTCTAATTAAGCTCAAATATAGTCATTTTTGTAAATTCCTCTTATTTTGCAGGTATAATATTGTTATGAAAATTATTTCGTACAATTTTTATATTTATATTATTACATAAACATTTAAATAGGCAAATTACAATTCATAAATAAGATATAGAAAAAAGAGTACTATTTCCTAATATTTACAACACTGATTAAGGAAGACTCTAAAACTTAAAAGACAGGATTCTTTAGTAGTAGTTTTCTTAATTTTTTTTCTTTCATATAATTTTTTTCTTTTTACTAATTTAATTAACCTATAAAAAGTTATTTGATTATAACTATATTACAAATAACTAATAAGGACTCCTAAATCTAATGAGTCTGGTGGCATGAAAATTTCCTATTTTGTTTGGTGTTACTTCTTGTTAGTTTTTTAATTTTAAAATTTGTTATGCTACATCGTTCAAATAAGAAAGGATTTGATACATACAATTTAATTGATTTTGACATCTTAAATATTAGGAGAGCATTAAAATAACAATAAATTTAGTTAATTTTAAAGTCTTAAATAATTTTTTTTAAAATAGTAAAAAGATCATAAAAACTATCACGTTTCACATTATGAATTGCCTATACAACATATTAAAGACCACAAATATGTGAGCTCTTTCATCTTTGAAACTACAATAAACTTGAAACTTTTTTTTTCATACACAAATTAAAAGAAACGTGGGAGTAAAAAATAACTTCGTAAGTAAAATCCATCTATGCACAAAGGGAATAAATAATCTGATAGCTACCTAGGGTTAGCAAATTGATTTCATCTCTATTGTTATAACTTATAAGTTTTGGCACATGAGCAGTTTTCATTAGAAAAGGATACTACTCTACTTATTATAATCAAAATAAAACTCGTATCATGACGAAGTACAAAAACTATCAAGGTACGGTGTTCATCCATTATAGGACTTAAAATTCTACTTATCTTAATCGAAATAAGACGCATATCATGACGAAGTACAAAAGTTATGAAGGTACGTAGTTCATCCCCTATAAGACTTAAAATTCTATGTATTCAAAATAAGACTCATATCATGATGAAGTACAAAAGCTATCAAGGTAGGTAGTTCATCCCCTATAGGACTTAAAATTCTACTTATTACAATTAAAATAAGACGCATATCATGACGAAGTACAAAAGCTATCAAGGTACAAAGTTCATCCCCTATAGGACTTAAAATTCTACTTATTATTATCAAAATAAGACTCATATTATGACGAAGTACAAAAGCTATCAAGGTACGTAGTTCATCCCCTATAGGACATAAAATTTAAGTGATACACATTTTAATTGTGTCTTCTTCTTTTTTCGCCGTATGGTGACTTGTCCTTTATATTTATATCAAAATTGTTTACATAGGAGTAGGACTACTTAATTATACTAAGAACCTTAATGAGTTCTTGTACAAAAAGAAAAATAGAAAACATATCTTTTATCCGGTAAAAGTCTGCAATAAAATAGGCTAAAGATACGCTTCCACGTACAATTACAAAAAATATTTCTTGTGTGAATATGTCTAATAGATGTCATATGAAGCAGGTCCAATTTGTAAGTTCATAACGAACCTAGGGCTCTGATACCAACTTTGTCACGATCCAGATCGTCGTGATTGGCACCCATACTAACCCTCTGGTGGGAGAACCATTACTACAACTCAAGTTAAACAACTTAACCAAAAAACTAAGGCATTTAAAGATACAGAAGCAGGTTTAAATGTCTAAGAAAAGAAAAATAGGGAGTTTCCATTAACTCCAACAAAAGTCTAACAAAACAAATGTGGAATAATACCTAGAACTTGAAAGTCAACGTACCAAAACTCCAACAAGAACCATAAGTCTAATCAAGAAGGGGTACAACCCCAAACTAACACAAGGAATCTAAAGCACTAGTCTAAGTCCGAAAATGTGGACATAAACAGAAAGAGAACTCATGGCAGCTCGAAAGAACTGAATCACCCTTGAATTCGATTGATCACTGATCTTCTAAGCGAGGTATGGCAGTAGCCGCCTGAAAATGCCCTGTACTCAACAAAGAAAGAGCAAGTGCAGTATCAGTACACAACCACAGTGTACTGGTAGGATCACGTGGCTATCCCAATAGGCGAAACATATATAAGTTATTACAACACTAATAAACATGCATACACCGAACATATACAATATCAATTATCACTTACGAACAACATACAATTTCACAATCTCAAGATATACAATTATGCCAAGTCATTGGTCCTCTCACAGAACCCATACCCAAACTGTTAGTGTACCGGTACATGGTACCTGATCCAAGTTAGTGTGCCGAACGTGACACCCGATCCCATATATGCGCCGAAATGTGGCACCCGATCCAAGTTAGTGTGTTGGAACGTAACACTCGATCCATTCATCAAGCCACAATCACCCTCACAATGTACATTCTCATAATCATACAATCAAGTCATGATTCATGGCATACAATTATTCAATTATCCTCATTTATAATTAGTATGATCAATAATGCAACATTCACGTATATACATGCATTATAATGAAGCAATTACAAATATATATCACAGCAGCATGAAATCACAACCATCATAATAATGCGAGAATCAATAAACAAGACCTAATTTCCCAAATTATAACCAATAACATCAACCCTAGGCCAAACCCTTAATCCCCATATTAGGGTTTCTTCCACCATAAATCACAGATCAAAACCCTCCCACATTGATAATTACCCAAGAAACTAAGTTCTACGGATCGAAAGGTGGATTTGGGGAGTGAAAACCTTACATTTGGCCTCAAGAATGGTGGAAAACTGTCAAGAAAACACCTGGGGTCGTTCCTTAGATCTCAAAGTCGAAACTTGCAGAATAAAACACTTTTGGGGTTTATTTTTGACTTAAGTCGCGTCTGTCCCACCACATCGGTCCTCACCCCGCTACAATCGCCCCGCCCTGGCGGAAAAATCCCGTCTTAGTGGCTTGCACGAAAACATTAAGCAAATTTAAGAATTCCAAACCCCCATTTCACAACACACATTCATCCCCGTTCACACTAAGATCAGTTTCGAGAGTTCTACCTACCCGAATTCAATTCCGTAAAGTCGTATGGGTTCCTCAACGTCTTAGCTATCTACTCATATGATCAAATTCATAATTAGATCTCCCTAGACCTTACTGACTCCGATTTCGTCCAAATCTGGACTAGGTTGGGAAATTCCAAGTTACTACCAAAAAGTTTTTCGGCCCAAAATTTTTCTCCATTGGATTTTATATAACGACGAGAATAGGTCGTTACAATAGATACCAATTTA